CTGGATCCACCTGAGATCACATGTATGATGATACTGGATCCACATGGGATCACATGTATGATGATACTGGATCCACATGGGATCACATGTATGATTATACTGGATCCACATGGGATCGCATGTATGATTATACTGGATCCATCTGAGATCACATGTATGATACTGGACCCACCTGGGATCACATGTATGATACTGGACCCACCTGGGATCACATGTATGATACTGGACCCACCTGGGATCACAGGAGTTGAAGTCGGAGTCCTACGGGACAGTTCCCTGACTTCAGACCCCGGCTCAGATAATAGTCTCGGCTGTCGACTCGTGTTGATTCACGTTCTGACCTCCATGTTGATGTTTCTTCTACTAATGGGTCACGGTGACGTGAAGCCGCTCGCTGTAGACGCTGGTTCCTAACCAACATGGCAGCTTCCATAAAATGGTTCCTGCTGGCGCTGATTCCCAACAACCAGAAGGTGCGGACACCTCGTTCAGTTCTGATGCGTGTCGACGGTCAAAACCCAAACCTGCACACCAGTCACCAAAATAACTGGGAAGCTGAGCATGAAATGCAAACGTCCAGAGACCAAGTGACCAATCAGGAAGCACTCTGCTCCTTTTGAATTCGCCCACAGCGATCTCAGGTGTTTGTCCTTGTGGTGACCTTGTTACTATCTCCAGTGTTCAGATCGTTCTTTACTCGCGTTTCAGTCTTTTGTCTAAAAGTTAAACTTTTCCCAGAAGAGGAAGTTGTTTTTTTTCTGCAGACTGAACCCTTTCAAATGTTCAGCTTGTGACGTGTGCCTCCAGTGAACCTGTCGGAGTCTCAGCTGCTGCGACACATTCCAGAGACGTGCACGAGCAGAAGCTGCACCTTCACACCAGTCGAGTATTTGACAATAATATTTATAACCTCCGCCCCTTTTTGTGAGACGCATACCAAAGCAAAACGTAAAGCGGCTAAAGGACCGTCGTGTTCGGGGCACGAGGAGATTTATTTTTTGTGCCCGATGCGCACGGTTTGTGTTGCGTGTCGGGCACGTACGAGCACGGAGTCACGATGTTGGAAACACAAGCTTCTCATTAAGTCCAGGCCCAAACGCTTATTGGAAAGGAAATATAATCACCATTTTGTTCTGTTGACAAGCTCGTTAATTAAAACAATCAGAAGAATGTGCAATTAATTATTTTGTTGTTTTTGTCGGACGTGAAACTTCACAGAATCATCGTGGCTCCACGAACAGATGTGGCGCCTAATAACCCCTGCAGATGTTTCAACAAAGCAAAACGCCGATTCACGCTAACTGTATCAATATTTAACTCGACGCTCGTTTGTTGAAGTGTTTGCACAAACACGTGCGCACATTTTCCTCACAAACCAAACTGAAACGGTTCCGATCCGAACGTTCGCCTCGTTTGGCAAGAATTCATTCCTCCTGTGTTTTTACACGTTTTTATCTGTTCCCTTTTTTTCCCAATAAACAAGAAAAAGTCTTTGTTGGATACGTTGTTTTATTCTTAAAGGTCACAGACAGGCGGTAATAACAGCAGGTACTAATGAAGGTAAGGCCTTTTCTTTATTCAAGACTGAAAATTATCAAACTACTCACAGCTTGGCTATAAAAAACTAAAGGTTATAACAAAAAATAGCTCTTGTATACTTTAGATATAAAATAATGCTGATCTGTTGTTATTTTAAGGCATTTCTGCTGATTTATATTCAGGTTTATGCAGCATTTCAATCAAAATCAATATATAATTGAATATTTCTCAACATCAGTTATACTGGCTCCAAATATTAATGTTTTAATTTGCATAAAATTACCGTTACTGCAAAATAAATGTCCAAATGTTATGGAAAAATCTTAGTTTGGTTTAAAATCTGCATTACAAAACATGCAATAATGAGGTCAACGCATTTAGACGAGTTAAAATGGAAACAGCTGCTGGGAGAATAAATATTGTTTGGTGAAGAACTCTCCAAGTTCATCTGCAAAAGTTCGTCCAATTATTTCCTGAGTTTCATTAATATTTGATATTTTGCTAACAAACACGCAGACCCAGGCAGCACTGCTTCACCTCTGGTGGGCGATGATAAAATCACCTGTTGGCTTTAAAAGTTGATCCGTTTTGTTAAACGTAACTTTGATCTTCAGCCGGTTCTTGAAGCAGAAAATGACTTTTTCAGACCAGATTGTTGCATCCTGAAGGTTTATGATCCATCATATGTACCCACTTCTTCCTTTTCGGGTCACCGGTGCCTTCCAGCAGTCACTGGGAGGCTGGGGACACCTGGACAGGTCTCCAGTCCATCACAGGGACACCTGGACAGGTCTCCAGTCCATCACAGGGACACCTGGACATGTCTCCAGTCCATCACAGGGACACCTGGACAGGTCTCCAGATCATCGCAGGGACACCTGGACAGGTCTCCAGATCATCGTAGGGACACCTGGACAGGTCTCCAGTCCATCGCAGGGACACCTGGACAGGTCTCCAGTCCATCGCAGG